AGGTAAGCAGTGGTTAATGGTATTTCATTAGGGACAGAATTTTTTAGCTGTCAGAAGAAATTATCTGATGTTTTTAAGCATCCTGTATTCTGACTATATTCTTGTTTAATACAAAACCTGATTGTATTAAAAGCAAATGACTTGTTGCCTTAAAACCCAAACACTGACATTTCCTAACTACGGTGCACACAGTATTTAATTCAGAAAAGTCTTTCTTGAATCAAGTTTTCTGACAACAGCGGTAGGAAGGGAACTTGCACCAGTGTTCAAGTATTGAGAATACGTTTTGGTCCAGTGCTGTGCTAAATCTATTTTATGCCAAAATCGCCAGCATTTAGGGCTGGTTTCTTTCAGTGTGCCCTGAAGGATTCTGCTTCTAAGTCTTGTCCTTCCCTTGGAAAGGGAATAAATGTGTATCTACAAGGTACCTCAGTCTTACAGACTTAGAGAATGATTCAGAGAAACTATTGACTACACAGAGAGTTGAGGGAGACTGGTTTCTTATCTTGGCCACTAACCTGGAAGCTTGGAGTAAGTCAAGTGAATAAGCACGTAGCACCCCTGTTTCCTTCTACAGGCCCATATTTCTCTGAAGATTCCATTATTTATGCCTCTATTCCATTATTTATGCCTCTATTCCATTATTTATTAGAATTGAGAGGACAGGGCATGTCTGAAGTTTATGCTGATACCATTGGCATAGTAGTGCACTTAAAACTGGTGCACGTATTCTTGTGTATTGCAATATTTGGTGGCAAGGGGACAAGAAACAGTATCAGGGAATATATAATGAGTAGGTATAATGCATTTATGCTTATCTACAGGACACTTTATTAAATTTTCATTGATGATATAGGAACCATTAGCACTATCTCTAGTTTTATTTCATATTCACCACAGAAATGGATGGAAAGAGCTCATGTAAATGTTCAAGTGATGGAAAACTGGCAAAATTGGAAAACTGGCAAAATTAAGTTTTTGCTTGCTGAGTCACCGATGATGATTTTAAATAGGTTTGGTGTTTTTCGCGAGGTCTTTTCCTGTAGAAGGGAAAAATACAACATGCTGTTTAGTTTCCTACAAATATTTACCTTGCTATTACACAAAACTAGCAAGTCGTGGTGTTTAGAAAAGCATGTCTTTCACAATCTAACATTCTTTTCTGGAGCAGCCACTGAAGGCAGATTTGGATACAACAGTCCCTTTTAAATTCTGTGGTAGTTGTCAATGCAAAGACTGAGGTTTATTGTTGCCTTCAGGAGTTGAAAAGAAAGAAAATGTTTAAGGTTCTCATTTAGCATGAACATTTGCCTAAAGTAGCTAGTACCCACAATTCCAGTAGACTTTAGAAAAAATTTCTCACAGAAACAGAGGAACATAAGAAGCTCACTGTTTTCATTGGCATGCATTTAATGTTTCGCCTAGGTTAACTCTGAGGCATCTGTACAACAGTGGTGGTAACTGCTCTCAGTTACATGCTTATGCTTGGGATGATTAAGACCTCCTGTACCTCCAAAATACTCAATATCACCTCTTCCTGACAAGAGTAGTCAAAAAAATTGATGATGAATACTACTTCTGTGTGTTTTCTCAATTCTTTGAGAAAACAATTTTGTTTATTGATAACATAAGTTTTTTACTCCTAAGACAAACTCTTTGGAGTCGTGGGTCAGCATTTACCTTACCTTACTGGGTAGAGTTGGGCACTTTTGCCAGGGATTTGCGAGAAGTGCATCTTGATTGGGAGTCATTCCTTTAGGAAAACAAGCTGGATCTTACATTTGTTTTTCTTGAAGAAACTAAGAGTCAGCTCTTGAGTGCCCTAATCACTGGGCTGTGTAGTGATGGTCCTGCTCCCTATTATCTGGCCCAGCAGAACTGTGTTCTTTTTTACAAAATATTGTGACTTCAAGGGATAGTGTGCTCTGATTCAGGAGGAGCCTGTGTTCAGGTGGTTGCGATACTCTACCGAGTTGTAGACCTAATTTTTAGCTGCTTCAGGCTGTAGAGGGAATTGAACTCAACAGCCCTATTTTCTGTGGAAGCACTGTAACCACTTGTTTTGGGTTTGTGTGATGGGGTTTTGGTAGCGGGGGAGGGGCCGCAGGGGTGGCTGCTGTGAGAAGCTGCCAGAAGCTTCCCCAGCTCCAAGTTGGCCCCGACTCTGGCCCAGGCCGAGCCCATCAGTGATGGTGGTAGAGCCTCTGGGAGAACAGATTTTAAAAGGGAAACCTGCAGTGGGGAGGAGATTGGAATTGAGAGGAACCCCTCTGCAGACACCGAGGTCAGTGAGGAAGGAGGGGAGGAGGTGCGCAGGAGGAGGGGATGCCCCCCCAGCCCGTGGTGAGACGGCAGGCTGTGTCCCCCCAGCCCATGGAGGGGAGCGGGGGAGCAGATGCCCACCTGCAGCCCGGGGAGGGGCCCACGCCGGAGCAGGTGAATACCCCCAAGATGGCCGTGACTCCATGGGAAAGCCCACGCTGGAGCAGGCCGTGACTGAAGGACTGCAGCCTGTGGAAGGGACCCACGCTGGAGCAGTTTGTGAAGGACTGTCTCCCGTGGGAGGGACCCCACGGGGGAGCAGGGGACGAGTGAGGAGTCCTCCTCCCCCTGAGGAGGAAGGAGCGGCAGAGACAGCGTGTGACAAACTGACCCCAATCCCCATTCCCTATCCCCCTGCACTGCTCGGGGCGAGAAGGTAGAGAAAATCGGGAGTAAAGTTAAGCTTGGGATGAAGGGAAGGGTGGGGGAAGGTGTTCAAGATTTGGTTTTACTTCCCATTATCCTTGCTTTGATTTGATTTGTAGTAAATTAAATTGATTTTGTTTCTTCCCCAAGTTGAGCCTGTCTTTTGCCCGTGACCGTAAGTGGTGAGTGATCCCTCCCTGTCCTTGTCTTGACCCACGAGCCTTTCTTAATATTTTCTCCTTGTCACACCAGGATGGGGCGGGGGGGAAGGAGCGGCTTCGTGGTGCTGGGCTTACACCACTGCACAGTTAGAAAGGGCAATTTTATGCCATTTTTCTCTCTTTTTTTTGGCTGTGCTTTCAAAAGTAGTTATGGCAGCTGTGTTTTGGGAGATCTGTCTTCTTAACAAAGCTGTGTTATTCCTCTGTTACCTGCTCGCAGGTGTCCCAAGGGGGCCTAATACAGGCTGTGCAAACCAAGGTTATGGAATTCAGGGAAGCCTGCCATGAGTAACTGCTAAACTGCTATATTCCAGCATGACCAGAAGCAAAACTTAGAGGCAGACTTTGAAGACTTTAATATGAAAACGTAGGCAAGTGTAGACTGTAGGAAGTTACATAGTCAAGCAGGGATCGTCTAAATGTCACTTGGATATAGGTTCCTAAAAGTCACCTAAATCCTTATCTGTGCCTGGCTATTTGAGGTGTTACTTGTGGTTAAGGGCAGTAATTTAGCTGAGATATCCCGAAATCTTGGATTGCAGCATTTGCAACTTCTGAATAAGCTTTTGTTTAAAAAAAACCCCACACTTCTGACAACAAATTAACTTTCTCCAACATTCTTGATATTTCTCTTGTGAGAAATGGTGATGATCCGATTACGGACCTTGTCAACTCACCCAGGCTGTACCTTTTCAATAGACAGAGCTACCACTCTTATTATTCTCACCCTGAGCTGGCTGTTTCAGATGTTCAGATAACTCTACCATCTTTAAGTTGACCATCAACTTACATCCTGCTTGCTAGATAAGCCCAGTAGTAGGACAGTGCTGAGACTGAATCACTGGAATAGGAAGAAGGTTATCAAGTGAGATACTGCTAGTACCTCACACCATACTGGTACCGTATGCATTTTCAATGTTACCTGGTCTTTGAACAGTGGAAGTAGCAAAAAAAGTCATATGGGACACTGCACTGGATGGGTCTCAAGGAGGTCAGATAATGTGTGATGCTTAGCAGTATCAGAAGAGGTACATACAACGGCACATTTCTGTTGTCTGTACAGTGTCTGCAGTGTCTAGTAACCATGAGTATCAGAAATAGATGATATTCTAATATTATCAGCAGGGAAAGTTTCCTTACAAATAGTCTTTGTGCCATGCTGGAGCAAGAGACATTGTGGAATGATGGAAAATTATGCTGTAAATCCCACTTATGCCACAGTCTTCTCAGTCAAGCAGTAAATGGGCAGTGAGGTTGGGGGGATATAAATCTAGTCTCTGTGCAGCAATTCCCTAAGAAATAGTTCAACTTCCATTTATGCCAGTCAGTCTGGTAACCTGTTCTTCACAGGAAGGCACTTACAGCAGAGCCAGCCAAAGGGATAACCCACAGAGACTGGCATTTACATGACTAATAATATATATCTGTTGTAGACCTCAGTCTCTTGAGGTTCTTTGGGGGGAGGCTGTCAGGGTAATGGATGCATTTACACTCAAGTCCTGTCATGAACAACTTCAACGTGATTGATCTTCCTGACAAAGAGGATAATCTATTAGTTATCCTTTGGGAAGACATTGTCTGGAATTAATAATCCTATCATCCAATTTCACCTTATTATAGGGAAAATTGTAATTTTTTTTAGTCAATTTTGAATAAAGATGTATTAACTTCATAACAACAGTTTCAGTCTTGCTATTAAATAGTCATATGGAATTTTGTTTTTGTTCTGTTTAAAAAGTATGACATTTTTCCAGTATATGAGATCATAATCTTAATGGAGTTATGTTTAAAAGTATATATATTAAGTACATGTTTAGGCTTTTGCAAAGGTTTGAATTTTTGTACTTTGTGCAGCTCAGTTGAATTCAGAAAATCATTTTTCTCTATTCTTCTATATTCCATTTATAGAACAGAAAATATTAGTTGCAAACTCTACAGAATACTGTGATAAGTTATAATTTTGCAAAGTACTTAGAAAATGAGACAGCATTATTGTGCATAATAACTGGAACAGTCGTTATCACTTCTGTTGTCACATAAAACAAAGATTATAATAGTTGCTTGATTCCTTAATAAAAGAAACTTAAGAACATGGCTCTTGAAGAATTAGTAATGGATTATTTTTAATTATAAGATAAGTGGTATTTAGCCTAACTGCTTAAATTTATTATGTATTTTACATTTTTTCAAATGAAATGCCTATCCAACTTCTAATTCATCAGAAATGTTTAGAAATTTCAATGAAGCTGTAAGTCTGTGGATATTGGCTGAACTAAACTGTTATATGGATTACACTAGACTGTCCACCAAAAAGAAAGTTTACATACAACGTTTCATTAAGAATCTAAAAGCCATTTATAGCATATATTGAAATCACATAGCTGTTCTGTGTAGTGGGGAGGACTGCTATTGAAAACATAGGAGTTACTAATTGACACCAGAATGATAAAACTGGCTTTTTTTTTTTTCAGGTCTTAGGAACAGATGAGGATAATATGGGGGATGGTTGCTCTCAGAAACTGGCTTCTGCCAAGTTCCTTCGACTTTTGCTCCTAATACTGATTCCATGCATCTGTGCCCTTATCCTTTTGTTGGTGATCCTGCTTACCTTTGTAGGTGAGTGCTAACAGAGTAAGTTGACACATTTTTAATTAAGGAGACTAAAACTGAGACTGCATTCTCAAGTGCAAATGTAACTGTGGACAATAAAGATATATCTGAGCACATCTACCCTACAAACTAATCTACCTAGCGACTTAATAATGTTTGTTGCAGAGAAATAAATATGCTATTTAGGTTTATATATTTAAAACCTGTTTAAGGTACCAAAGAGGAAACCTTTTCTGAATTACTCAAAGTAGATTTTTGGGGAGCACGCTACCTTGAGCGTGTAGTATGTAGATGGTTTTCAGCAGTCATTTTACAAGTACAAAAAGATATTTATGTTAGAACTTTAGACCACTGTCAGTGGAATGGAATATTTATCCCTTTATGTCACACATTGATGTGCAAGTCTGATTTTTATTTTCAGGTGAAAGTTAGCTTATAAATAGCCACAAATCTTTCTGAATAGCCTACAAAATATTACAGTTTAACTAAGGAAAAATATGAAATATGTATCAATGCAGAACCCCAAGTATGTTTTGTGGAAACTTGTTTCAAGTATATTAGACTTCATAATGGCTTAGTCTGTTAACTAACTCTGTGTCTGTTACAGAATTAAAAGGTAGTAATTTATTACAAAAATTTTTTTTAAAAGCCTTCCATTTGTTACCTTTAGAGAAGCTGACATATCATTAAATTGATTCAACTACAACATGAGAAAGACAGTAATGCTAGGTTAAAGCATTACTTTTTCAAGAAAAAAAAAAAGGTTAAAAAATCATCTGCTTTCAGTGCTGAGGGTTTCTGGGATTTTTACTTCTTTTTTTCTTAACGAGAATAATTTCTAGTTGAGCTTCCTTAAGGACTTCACAAGCACATCTGTAACAAGTGGGGTAGTGTGTGAGGTATACAGTTATAAATCTATTTTCCTATTTCAAATCCCCAACTTCAATCCACGTCGTAGAATCAAATAGTTAGCAAGCAGAGGAAGAAACTAAACACATCTCAATAGTACCTTCAGCACTGTCAAAATCAAGACAACTTAAATCTGTTTTCTCAATTCAGTCTGTAAAGGATTTGCAACAAGACGTTGTAGGCCTGTTCTTTTCATTTAGCTTAAGTTGGGGAAGTAAAAAAAAAACAACAAAGCTAGTGAATGTTATGATTGACAAGTAAGTCTTGGGATGTATCTTTAAACTAAGAACAGTCTGAAGTGGATTAAGATCAAATAAGTCTGGCAATTAGGAAATATGATGCCATTCAATTTACTTTCCTTATGTTTAGCATTCCATTTGTATCCTTCATATCCTCTGCCCTAGATTTTCATTCTTTGGTGAGAAAGCAGATAAAAAAGCAGGTGTATTTACGTCAGCCCTACTCAATCTCCTCCTCTGAGGCATGTATTGACATAACACTCATTAAAATGTATGAAAACCACTGGGGAAATGGGACCTGTTCTGATCCTACTTAGGTAGCAAAAATCAGGACTATGTCCTCTTTAAGTCAATGTAATTACTGTAGGGTGAAGAATAAGGCTTGGTGTTATTACCCGAGTCTAAAACTGGCAAAGCTCTCATCAGCATCTTTTGAATTAGTATGATTATAATTTAGTATTCTCTCTCAGTTAGCAGCTTTCATTCTATGTGCATTGATAGCCTAGAACAAATATATCTGATGACTGGAATTAAATGAACAAATTTTGTGGGCGTCTTTAAAGTGTGTGTAATATAGTCTTTTCTATTTACTGAGAATACACTATATCCAGAATTGTAGTTCATATTCTTCTCAGATCAATAATAACTGAATTCTGTTACAGTCTAATACTGGTATGATGACTTACAATGTAAGAAATGAGTTGATAGTTCTGACTGGCTAACACAAATTATTTGATATATAGGGAATTCTGTTCTTATTTTTTCATGAAATGGAGGAGTTAAATTCTGTGGTTTTCATTCTAGTATCATTCACTGGTGCTTAAAACATAAATGGAGAGCTCCAATATATTGCTTAGAACCTTATGAACTTCTTTGATTTGACTTTGGTAATGAACTCATCAGAAAATTAGGCCTTTTACATTTTGCATGAGAGTATTTTGTTTCCTGTGGTAAATTTGTAAGTAATTACTCTCCTCCTTCTATAATATTTTTTAATTAAATGAGGCATATACACATGAAAAAGTGTGCATGCACCTTAGAACTTTCCTGTTCGCTTTCCTTACATCTGTTTTGTTGCCTGCACATCATTGCAAGCTCTGATGTTGAAGAAACTGAAAAGTTGGTATGGGTGGAAGGAGACAGGTAGAGCAGTACCTATTTGAGGTGTGTCATGGGGGCCTGTATTCAGAATGTCATTAATCAACCTTTCAAAAATTATTTACCATCAAAGTATTCAAGATGCAAAGCCCTTGAAAAAGTTATTTTGTTAGAACCGTGTACAAAGAAAGGACAAAGCAAATTATCAGTAAAGATACATATTTTGACTAAAGATACAAGAGACTTTTATGGTACATAGAAGAAAATATCAAGCTGAGTTGTTTAGCTTTCATTTCTCTTATGTACTTACACTCTGGCTCTGCATACTCTTCTGTCTCTCATCAGTAGTATAGCATGCTTGTCAATCTGTAGAAGAGAACTTTGTAATGAATAAATGTTGTTTCACTCATTGAAGTAGAAGCAGTACCAGTTGCTATGAAGGAAGTCTAGCCTTTAGACCATGGCCATAATAATTTGTTGATTACATCAGGGGACAGGAGGGCTTAGGAATGGTGCTTGCTTTGGAGTGTTGAAGACCTCACATGCAAGACCTTGACCATGAAGACCTAACTCAGCAATATAAATTTGAAGGGGCAAGAAAAGGCTAGATTATACATGACTAAAATTACTGGTATCTTAAAATTTCATCTGACCCCTATAGACATAAAGAGCCTTCTAATAAGACTGGTCCATAATTTTTTTCTGGGGATAATAGTATAGTATAGTCAATTTTCATTACTTTCCAGAAAAAACAAACAATAACTGAATCCATGGTTTGAATAGCTAAATATTCCTTTAAAATGGAGAGACGTCAGATCACCTTCAACTTGTGTTAGAATCTGTAGTCTATGTCCCATTTTGCTTACACTGAAAAAGATACCTTAAATAATGAGTAGTATGCAAATGTTACAAAGGTGAAAATTAGCATGCTTGTAAGAATGAAAAACCTCTGGCACTTTCATTTTTTTACTTACAGAGAGGAAGTGTTCTAAACCACTTGAAACATAGTTAAAAAGTCCTTCACAGCTGGTGAGCATTATACCAAATTAAAAATTTTTTTGATTGTACCATAATTGCTTACCGTTGCAGTTATTTCTCTGGGAAGACAAAATGCTTTATACTTACAGTTCCATAAAGGAAAATCAATTATATTTATTTTATAGTGACAAATGCATTCCGTGGTAGATGTCCCCTTCCTCCCACTCCTTCACATCAGTATCCTCAGCTCATACTTAGGTGATCTTCTACCACCTCCTGTTAACAGCCATCCACAACTAATGCTTTGTCTATTGTTTTCTGTAGAATTCAGGACAAGTCTTGTGACACACATAAAGAATGGTTTCATGCATGTCAGACTTCTACAGTTCAGATGTAATTTTTGGGCATATGATCACACTGCAGGAACACATCAAAGAAGCCTGCCTTTCAGGCAAGCAGCATACTCTGTTATCTATGCACAATGTTGGGCATTCATGCATTTTGCAAAATAATATTTAAAAAATCTGTTAGTCCATCAATACTGGTGGGAATGAGGATTACAATCAAAGTCTCTAAGATGCACTGTTGACTATGGATATGCAAATAATTGAGGTTTTGGTTCTTTCACCATCCTTACATTATCAGCATGTAGTGTTTATATTTTGGCTCTGACATGTATTTTGAGATTAATTTTGGTTCTTGGTGAGAATTATTACAAGTGTTATGTGTGATGGGTTGTATTTAGCATTTTCATCTTACTCTCCTTAAAAACAAAGCTCACTCTAATAGCTGCATTTTTATTATCCTTGTATAAGTATGAACTAGCATGGGCAGTTCTCAAATCATTCTGTTGTTTGGGAAATGTGTAGCAAGATGCTGTCCACCTGAAAGATGCTGTCAATGTTCTTGCATGTCACTGGTTGAACAATGATCATTACTAGTATATCATCTGTGAGACCTGTATTCTCCTTTCCCTTCCCCTGCTGAGAACACAGAAGGAGCTGTGTCTCCTTCACAGAATAAACCTCAGGAAAAGTGCATTATAGTAAAACTACTAGGCTTAGCTTTGTGGCAGTTGGATCTTCCACATTCATAAGGTAACATGCATATGTCAAGACTTCTGTGTCAATTTGAGAACCCAACTGTACTGGCCCACAAGGAACTTTTTGCCACACAGAGGAAGTTAAAGTTGCAGGGAGTTATAGTTATACTCTAGGGTAAAGGATCTTGATCCCTGAATCATTTGGAGATGCTGTTAGTTCTCCAAGTGATGTCGAGCCTTGAGGCACATGACGTCCTCAAAATCTAAAGTGACTAGCAGCATGAAGATCTGAAAGTTACAGTTGTGAAAGCAACATGAAATATCAACAATTCCATTGTCAATCCATGGCAATATTTGCTGTAAGACAGGTGTCTAAATTTAGGAGTTTAAGACTAGCATATAAATAAACCATTTGGTCCTGGGAGTTTTTCTGGTGGAAGATGGTAATCATGAGCTAAATGATCTGCTGGTTCTTTAATTTGATCTTGCCAACCCAGCTATATTATGGGGAATGTCCAAAGTAGTGTATCCCAGAGCAGCCTGTATTTCACCCATCTGTAAGAACTAATTTAGTCTAGCAAGCCTTCTTTATACACCTGGAATGTTGGGGAAAAAAAAAAAGATGGCTGTGAATACAGCTCCAGGTCAGAATGCCTGCTGTGAGACATCACTGATGTCAGTGGGGAATTGTTTTTGTGATCTAGAGAATAATAATGAAAGTCTGTCAGTCCATCCAGCAC